TTTCAAGATGCCACTGTTGGTCGTTGTGACATAATTTAGGATTTAATTTTCAGCCTATTTCCTTTTTAGTCTGCCTGTCTCTCTCCACAACCCCCTTCAGACCTTTTTCCTAGTAATAAACAGTTTAGGGCTGGCTGTGGTCGTTTTGCTCTGCCGTTTGGTTTTTAGTGGAAACTGTCCCTTCAAATTTTGAGGAAATCTGTGCACATGCACAGTAGAACCCTCTGGGGGTGGGAGTGGGTTGTCCACTCGCTCAGGCATGCACCCCTCTAGTCACCAAAATGGAGGTGCATAGCCAGTGAGAGACCAATGAACAGATAACAACAACAAAAAAATGCCCACACCTTTATCTCTGCAGTTCTGTCAGGCGTCTGTGGCTGCTCTGATCCTTCCCCAGCTTGGTCTCACCCAAGATGGTGGCTCCGGGAGCAGCTGAGCATCTTGGATTAGAAAGTACTGGATTTCTTGCTTCTTCTACAAATTCCCCTGGATTTAATTCTTCCAACCTTCTAAATATTCCTTTATATGTGGTTCAGAGTTCTGGAACCATCCCCTGAGCCTGCTTGGTCTGGGATTCTGTGTTGTTGCTGACGGAGCTCCTCACTGCACATCTACCCGATCCGCCGTCTTGTTTTTTCTCCTCATAAGCCTTTTAATAACTAATCTTTCACAGGTGGATTGTTTCTTCTTCTTCCTAGTCTGTCTTTGTCTGGAAGCTCCGCTGAAACCTGTCCACCATAGGTGTCCCCACTACTTTTAAAATACTGGTGGCGTAGCTCCCAGTATCACAGCAACATACAAGTCACCACAGTATGACAAACTGACAGAAGTGTGAGGCATTAAGGTCACAGAAGTACTTAAGATCAGGGCGGATCACATCAGAGCACACTAGGGGAGAGGGGCAGGGGTTGTTAAATGATTGCATTACATAACTGCCAAACCACTGAGAATCGTGGCCTAGCCAACTTGACACAGATAATTTGGGAAGAACACTCAATCCATGACAGATTGAGGCACGGAACTGGGGAATCACTGTTGTGCTAAGGGGCTGAGATGCAAGTGCAGATCTCTCTCACTTCCTAGTGGTGTGTGAATGGTGCCCCAAGCAGGGGGCTCTGATAAGGGGGCATGTGAGGGCTTCATCCAGTCTTCTCCCTACTGCCTAACACAGCTGAGGTGCAAGGCTGGAACTGCCCAAAGGAAGGGGCCTTTACTAAATCCCACAGAAATACTCCATATGTTCCATTATTTGCATTCTGTTAGTGCATTCCCAGGGAGTCCTGGCACGGCACTGTAGGATAAGCACTGAGCTGCTAACCACAAGGTTGGAGGTTCAAACCTATCAGTCGCTCCTTGAAACTCTATACAGGGTTGCTATGAGTTAGAACAGACTCCACGGCACTTCACAACAACAGTGCACTCCTAAAGGTCCTTGTATAAGTCATATGCATTGTGATGGATTATTAACCTAAAAAGGTTGGTGGATTTCAGTGACTCTGTAAAATAAAGGCCGTGTAATCTTCTGCCATAAGGAGCTCTGGTAGCGTAGTGGTTACGAATTGGGCTGCGAACCTTAAGGTCAGCAGTTCAAAACTGCCAGCTGTTCCGTGGGAGAAAGATGAGGCTTTCTGCTCCCTTACAGAGTCGCTATGAGTCGGAACCGACTCCACGGCACATAACAACAACAATCTTCTACCATAAAAATTTCAAAAAAGGATCACGTCTACTCCGACTCATGGAAACAGTATATTTTACAGAGTAGAACTGCTCTATAGCATTTTCCTGCTTACCATCTTTACAGAAAGTACCCAGATGGTGTAAACGGTTTGCTTTCAACTACTAACCTAAAGGTTGGTGGTTCGAACTCACCCAGAGGCTCCAAGGAAGACAGTTCTGTCGATCTGCTTCTGTTAAGATTGTTGTTGCTAAATGCCATCAAGTCGGTTCTGACTCATAGTGACCTTTTACAGCGTTTCCAAGGAACACCTCATGGGTTTGAACTACCAACCTTGTGGTTAGCAGTCCAGTGCTTATCCACAACGCCACATGAAAACCCTGTGGGGTAGTTCGACTCTGTAACACACCGGGTCACTATGAGTCAGAGATGATGCAGTGGGTTTGTTTTGGGTCCTTGGTTAGTGCAGTCCCCAAATTTCCAGCAGTTTATCTCCGTTAGCAAAGGATCCAGAGATAAATGGGTTTCATTTGATTTGGCAGATCCTTTTCATCCTTGTGAATACCGACGAACCCAGAAACGGACGTGTTTTCGAGTACTTTCGGATCACCGAAGTCGATGTCCCATCTGTCCAAATCCTAAACTTAACCTCTGGAATTAGGTACAAAATGCCTACAGAAGAGATAACTTATGAAAACCTCAAGACATTCTGCACCAGCTTCTTGAATAGAAGTGCCAAAGTAAGTGCCTTCTTAGACAGGATTTAGACAGCAGCTCAGGACCATTGGTCGTTTATCATATACTAACTTCTGAAATGTGTTCTCATGTGGCACTGCTGGGTAATGCACTAGAACGCAAGGTCAGTTTAAACTGCAAGGCCGGTGGTTCAGATTCACCAGCCACTCCTCAGAAACCCTATAAAGGGTCGCTGTTAATTGGACCTGACGGGATGGCACTTAACAACAACAACAGCAACTTCTGAAATGGATGAATATTCAACAATTCTTTTTGGGTATAATGACTCTATGTATGACTTATATTTTGCCCATGTTGCTGTTCAATGCTGTTGAGTCGGTTCTGACCAAGAGCGACCCTGTATGAGGTTTCCAAGGAGTGGCTGGTGAGCTTGAACTGCTGATCCTCTGATTCAAAATGACTTTGCAGTCCTGGCAACACCAAGACTCCAGCATTTTGCCCATTGTTGTTGTTGTTAAGTGCCTTCGAGTCGGTTCCGACCCATAGCGACCCTGTACAGGGTTTCCGAGGGTGTAAATCCTTATGGGAGTAGAAAGCCTCATCTTTCTCCTGCGGAGCGGCTGGTAGTTTCGAACCGCTGAGCTTAAGGTTCGCAGCCCGATTCGTAACCACTACGCTACCAGAGCTCCTTAAATCCTTAAATCCTTAAATCTTGCAACTTGAGACTTGAATCTTTTTCTTCAGTTCTTTCAGCTTGAGAAATGACAAGTGTGTTCTTCCCATTTCATTTTCTAACTCCATTTCATTATAATGCTTTACTTTGTTTTCTCGAGCTGCCCTTGGAAATCTGTTCAGCTCTTTTACTTCCTCATTTCTTCTATACTCTATGTTCAAGAGTAAGTTTCAGTGTGTTTTCTGACATCCCTTTTCTTTCTTGTCTTTTTAATGACCTTTTTCTTTCTTCTTGTATGATGTACTTGATGTCATCACACAACTCGACTTATAGTCATCATTACTGTTCAGTGTGTCAACTCTTCTTGAGATGGTCTGTAAATTCAGGTTTGATTTTCCTAAAGTTGGACATCAGCTTTCATGTTGTTGTTGTTGTTATGTGCTGTGGAGTCGGTTCTGACTCATAGCGACCCTGTACAGGGTTTCTGAGGCTGTAAATCTTTCATGGACATTTAAAATTTTTCTTCAGCTTCGGTTTGAACTGCATATGAGCACTTAATGGTCTTTTTCACAGTCAGCCTCTAGCCTTTTGTCCAGACTGATTATATTAAGCGTCTTCCTTGTCTTGATTCCATTTCTGTGTATAGTGTATAGTTCCATGTGTATAGTGGCCATTTATGTTGTTAAGAAAGGTATTTGCAATGAAGAAATTGTTGGTCTTGCAAAATTCTATCATGCAAGTTCCAGCAGTATTTCTATCACCAATGCCTTATTTTCCAACCACTGATTTTCCCTCTTTGTTCCAAATCTTTGCATTTTAATCACCGGTAATTATCAATGCATCTTGATGGTTGTTGTTGTTGTTGTTAAGTGCCGTAGAGTCAGTTCCGACCCATAGCGACCCTGTACAGGGTTTCCGAGGGTGTAAATCTTTATGGGAGATAAGATGGTATGTTTGATCAATTTAAAACAGGCTCAGACTATAAAGATATTTTGAGTCCTTTCCAGAGTCTAGGGAAAAGGGTTAGGGAGTGAATTGTGGGGGGAAAGTCTGGTGAGTTGAGCAAAGGCCACAAAACATGAGTGCTGTGAAGCACATTAAGGATTCGAGCAATGAGGAGCTAAATTTGAACATAGAACCCTGTCTGTGGGGGGAGAGGAGTGTGGAGAGGCTCAAGAAGAGACGCAGAGTGAAAAGATTCAGGAAGTCATTTCAGTGTTCCAGATGCGAGGTGAAGGCTAGCAGGGACTAGGATGTTGGAAGAGTGGATGCAGAGAAGGATATAGAGCCAAGAGCCATTCAGGAGATACTAGTTCTAGAGACAACTTGGCATGGCCTGAGATTTCTACCACCTCCTTCTAGGAAAAGCAAGAGCTAGGTTTATTCGTTCATTCAGTTATTCGCAAAACATTAAAAGTGGTGCACACATATAACTGCTCATTTTCTAGCCAGACTATTGGAGGTTTCAGTTCACCCACAAGCACCACAAAAGAAAGGTCTGGTGATTACTTAAAATGAAATCAGACATTGAGAACCCTTTGGAGTGCAGTTCTATCTGACACAAAGGATCACCGTGAGTTGGAAACAACTCAGTGACAACTGGTATTACTAATTTTGATACCAGTTACCATAACTGATACTTAATGAGGAAGAAAAAAATGACCTTCGTGATATCCTGTATAGCTAGGTATATACATATTATTCAAAGAACCAGACAAATATTAGTGATAATTTTGAATAAATTATACAAAATAAGTTAATAGTCGTGGGATCTGACTTAGTCTGAGGAAGAGTCAGGGAAGGCCTCTTAGTTCTCCAATGTTGTTATAACAGAAACACGGGGGTGATGCTGACAAACAGAAATGTATTCTCTCACAGTTTAGGAGGTTAGAGGTTCAGGTTCATGGTACCAAGTCTAGGAGAAGTCTTTCTCTGGTGGAGGGAGGTTCTTGCTTCCTATCAGCATCTGCAGGCCTGGCATTCCTTGGAGACCTCCATGTGTCTTGGCATCAGTCTTTCTTTGGGTCTAGGAGGTTCCCAGTACAGGGACCTGTGTCCAAACGATTCATCTGACCCCAACGCTTCTTTCTTGGTGGTAGTAGATCAGTCTCTCTCCTTTAATTTATTGTAAGATAAAGCGTGTTGCAGATCACACTCCAAAGAAATTCCCCTTACATGAGATCAGGGCTGTGATGGGATTAAGGGTGTTGCACCCCCCCCCCCCCCCCATAATCCTTTTACAGTTGAATGACTCATCACATTCATCATGGAGGACCATGACATCACTGCAAAGTTACATCCCGGAATAACTGCCAAACCACTGAGAGTCATGACCCAGCCAAGTTGACTCATATTTTGGGGGGAATGCAGTTCAATCCACGGCAGCCTCCTTTGAAGTCATTCTGAAGGATGAGTGTGAATGGATTATGAGCAGGCAGGGCAGAAGTGAGGAGTGGGAATGGGAACAACATAAACAAAGATGGAGGTTAGAAGAAAACTGTCCTTTCTGTGAAATGAAGATGTTAATACATTACCCCCACTCTCATCTGCAATTCCCAAGAATCATGTTAGATTCAAAATGCTAGACTCCGTCCTAGTTCAGAGCTCTGTCTCCTCCTCAGCCTTCTGAGCCCAATTTCCCCTGGACAATCCAGCTCAGAATCTAGCTCAGCCTTTTAAACTCTCTTCCGAGGTTTTGTCTAAGAACAAGAGAACAACTTGCATTGTTTTCAATCAGAGGAAGAAACCTCAACTGTCAGCCTCTTTCTGTGAACTGTTGTTGTCGTTGTGAAGTGCCGTCGAGTCGATTCCGACCCATAGCGACTCTGTATAGGGTTTCCGAGGAGTAGCTGGTGAGCTTGAACTGCCGACCTTGCAGTTTAAACGGCTTTGCAGTCTGTGGACTATCAGATCTCTTGAATTTGCTTCCTAGGAACATCGGTCCAGTGAAGAGATTCCAAAATATTGGGACCAGGGACTGGTTAAGCAGCTCGTGGGGAAGAACTTCAACACAGTTGCCTTTGACAAGGAAAAGGACGTGTTTGTGATGTTCTGTAAGTACCTCTGCAGTGGCGGATAGACCTGAGGGCCCCAACAGTGTTACTTCTCCAGTGTCACCCTTGAATTCTTGGACACGCAAATCTCCAAATCCCATCCGAGCAACATGCTAAAGATGGCCTTCAGGCACCCAAAGAGTATGGTACCAGATGATATCAGCTATGATGTGATGCTAATTATTGGAACATATGGAATAGCTTTCATAGAATCCAAGCCTTTGACTACTTAGAACAACAGCAATGGTGTTTGCTAACATTGATGGAATGTTGAGTGTTTGTATATACTATCTCATTTAAATCTTATAACATCCTTTGGAAAGAAGCTACTATTATTGTTCTCACTTGGCATATAATTAAGCACAATCTCAAGAAGGTAAGGACATTTACCCAAAGTCATATAGATTTGGGAACCGAGGTGAGAACCCAAATCCCAGCGCTGGATTTGAACCCACCGTGACACCTAGTGGTATGATGGTTAAAGCGCATGGCTGCTAACCAGAGGTTAACAGTTTGGATCCACCAGCCACACTCAAAGAGAAAGACACAAAAATTGGCTTCTGGAAAGGTTTACAGCCTTGGAAATGCTATGCAGCCGTTCTTCGCTGTTCTGTAGAGTTGCTAGGGGTCAAAGTCAACACAATGGCAAAAGGATTTTCTTTCCTTCTTTTTTATGTTTTTTTTTGGATTACTCTGATGCAGAATTTATGCTTATAACTATTATACAGAATGCCCTTGTTTCCAGCTTTAGGTAACTTATCAATTTAACCTGCCTGGTTTGGTGTGGCCAAGGTGACGACCCAAGTGATGCAGCATGTGAGAGGACACTTGGCATACAGCTCTGCCGTATTATCAGCACTGATAAATGATGACAAGCATTGTCACTGCTGCTGTTTCTATCGGGACCTCTGGTAGCATAGTGGGTTACATGCTGGCAACAGGGTCAGCAGTTCGTATCTACCAGCCTAGATGAGGCTTTCTGCTCCCATAAATATTTACAGCCTCAGAAACCCTACACAGGATCGCTAAGGGTCAGAACCCACTCGACAACACTCAGCCGCATTCCTATCAGGATTGTTATTGCTAGTGCTCATATAACGATTGGGTTTTTTTTTCTCCCATTGCTGATCTTCATGGAAGATCCAAAGCAAGGCACATTCTGTCCCATCCTAGGGCACAGAGGCGGTGACACTGAAGTTATTTCGGACATACCTTTTATTTTTATGGAAGAGTTGCCATTATTCAGCACTGACAAAGAGCCTGGCATGAGTTTGGTGTTTACACCTGTTCTTGTTTCCTCCTCACCACAGCCTGGTGTGGCACTGTAGGATCAGTACAGCAGCACTGGACTGTGAACCACAAGGTCGCCAGTTCAAACCCAGCAGCTGTTCCTCGGAAATCCTCTACAGGGTCGCTATGAGTAGGAACTGACTCAATGGCACTTAACAACAACAACAAACAGCCTCTGGGGAAGGTGCTGCTTTAACAGAAATACCATAGGTGGGTGGCTCTGGTTGTTAGGTGCCGATGAGTCGGTACCAACTCATAGTGACCTTATGCACAACAGAACAAAACCTGCCTGATCCCACGCCAATCTCACAAGCGTTGCTTTGCTAAGCCCATTGGTGCTGCCACTGTATCAATTCATCTCGTTAGGGGTCTCCCTCTGTTTTGTTGCCCCTCTACTTTACCAAGCATTATGTCCTTCTCTAGGGACTGATCCCTCCTGACAATATCCCTGAAGTATGAAAGATGAAGTCTGGCCATCCTGGCTTCTAAGGAGCATTCTGGCTGTACTTCTTCCAACACAGATTTGTGTGTTCTTTTGGCAGGCAATCCATGGTGCTTTTAATATTCTCCTCTAATACCATAACTCAAGGAGCTCTGGTTATGAACCAGGCTGCTAACCTCAAGGTCAGCAGTTCAAAACTAGCAGTCATTCTGCAGGAGAAAGATACGGCTTTCTGTTCCCGTAAAGATTTATAGCCTCGGAAACCCTACGCAGGGTCCTTAGGAGTCAAACCGACTCCACGGCATACCACTACCACCACCCCATAGCTCAAATGCATCAGTTCTTCTACCGTTTTCCTTATTCATTGCCCGACTTTCACATGCATATGAGGTTGCTGAAACTACCATGGCTTGGGCCAGACTCACCTTAGTCCTCAAACTGACATCTTTGCTCTTCCAGAGGCCTTGTGTGGCAGATTTCCCAGTGTTCTTGACTGCTGCTTCCATGAGTGTGTGACGGTGTCTCTAGTGAACAGAAATTTACCTTCTCACAATTTAGGCAGCTAGAAGCTCCATTCTAGGGGTAAGCCTTCTCTGTCCACTCTGGGAGAAAATCCTTGCCTCAGTTTCTCTAGGGTTCTTCTTGATGCCTTTTGGAGATCTCCATCTGGCATGTAATTCTCCCCATCCGCTTCCTTACTTCTATTCCTAGTGTTCTCTCTGATAGCTCAAAAGTGCTTGACTTAAGGCTCACCCTATATAGATCTGACCTCATTAACATAACAAACAAAATTCTGTACCCAAATGGGGCTACATCCATAGGTACAGGAGTTTAGGGTTTGCAACACATCTTTTTTGAAGACATAATTCACTCCTTAACAGAAGTTTTTGGTAACTTTCACCATACTATCGATGAGGGAAGCCAGAGAGGTTCACTGTTTTACTCCAGGTCACAGAGCAAGTTCAAAGGGAGCTCTGAGGCCACCACTTCTGTGAGGGTGAGACGAGGAAGGGCAGAGTGCATCATGGGAGCCCTGAAATCTCACTAAAAGGACTCTCAGGCATAGGTGAGGTGTTTAAGGTCTATGTGGCTAGATAAGCCTTTCAGTGAGAGAGGCTGCACTTATCTGATGCTAAGTTAAGAGAATATCCATTTGCTTCTTGTAAAAGGCCCAAATTCTCTCAATTTCTGGGAAGCAGGACTGTCAGATTGGCCCCCCTGGGATTGCCATTATGCTCCTTCTGGTTCCAGCCCAGGGGCTGTCTGACTCCAAGGGGCTGGCGGACCACTAATACAGATGGAATGAAAATGGAGGCACTTGGTTTGGGAATGGGTGGATGGGGTGAGGAGGGGCTTGGAGGTCATTCTGCCCACAGAAGCAGAAACTTTGAGCTCCAGTCTTGAGAGGAAGGAAGAGCAGGCAAAGTTTGGTTTCCGTTTCTTGTTAGATCTCAGCACTGATAGCTCTCTCCAGGGCCCAATAACTGGGCCAGACTCCAAACTCCAGGAACTGCCCAGAGGCCGTCCAGTGTCCTCTTTCTAGGGGAAGCTGGACTTTCCACAACCTCCAGTTTACTCTTTGGGCATCTTCTCCTTCACTGGACTGAGAAGTTTTGTTGCTGTTAAGTGCCGTCAAGTTGGTTCCAATTCATAGAGAACCTGTGTAGGGTTTCCAAGGAGTGGCTGGTAGGTTTGAACTGCCCACCCTGTGGTCTGGCACATTATCCTGCAGTGCCACATCAGGACTAAAAAGTAGTATGGTGTAATGGTCACAAGTCCAAGCAGCCTGTTCTCAAACCCCACCTCCTCTGCTTAGTAGGTGAATGTTGTTGTTAGAAGTGCCATCGAGTCGGTTCAGATTCATAGTGACCCTGTATAGGGTTTCCAAGGAGTGGCTGGTGAATGGCCTAAAATGAAGACCTGAACCTCAACTGAAGAACACTTATGCTAACAGGCATCACATACACACACAAACACATGCTTTTGGGCGGAACGTAAGTATCAACCAAGGTAAATATTTTTCTTGCCTTTCTTCTTCAATAAGAGTGGAAAGCTGTGTTTTAGAAAAAGGATTAAACAACAAAGAATAGAGGAAAACATCTCAATACACTGAAGTGTTAGTCTCTGGGTAGAGAGGAACCAAGTCCAAAACCACAAAACCAAACCCACGGTCACTGAGTCAGTTCTGGCTCATTGCAGCCCTGAGCGGGGTTTCTGGGACTGTATTTCTTTATGGGAGCAGACAGCCTCATCTTTCTCCTGAAAAGCACCTGGTGGCTTTGAACTGTCAACCTTGAAGTTATTAGACCAGTGCTTGTCCTCAGTGCCACCAGGGCTCCTAAAAAACAATTGTTGTTGTTGTTAAGTGCTGTTGAGTCGGTTCTGACCCATAGCGAGGAGCAACTGGTGAGCTTGAACCACCGACCTTGCAGTTCAAATGACTTTGCAGTCTAGAGCATTAGCCCACAGCTCCAGAAAGGGATTAGATTATATATATTTTTTAAATGTATTTAGTAATGATCAGGATTACATTTTAAATGGAGCTAAATCTAAAATGCATCCAAGAAAGCTAGAATGCTATCTGCAAAGCAGCTGAAATATGTGTAAGGGTGCAGTGGGTTTGTGTTTATTTTTTACTTACCCTTTTTTTTAAAGTTTTTATTGTGACCTGAGTGATAGTTTACATGGGAGAACATCCGCTTTACACAGTGTTTCATTACAATGATTACAATCGCCTCTGTGCATCATTATTCAACAGTATTTGCTTCCATTCCCTCTGTGTTTTTTTTTTTTTGGGGGGGGGGTGTAAACAAAAACACTCAGGAATATATAATAATTTAAACAACCAAAGAGCACATCCTACAAGCCTAGGGTGCAATGTTTTGCTTTGTTCAGTGTATAAATAAAAGACTTGGAACACATTCTAGACCAATTTTCATGTGTGAAAGTGAGGAAGGTGAAGTAGTAATTTTCATGTACTGCCATAATATGTTAAGTAAAACATCAATGATTTTGACTTGTATTTTTGAGCTGGTTTCATGGTAAAGTCATCTAAAAGATGGAGGTCGGATATTTGGACAGGGTACAATTTCAGTGCCGGCCATAGGCACTATTTCTGTAGGTCTGCGTCGGGCAGGGATGCATGGAGATGACTGAGTGGTACCGGTCCCCAGAGAGTCTAAGCAATGATTCTTCTTCCAGATGCGCCCTGGTCTGAAAAGTGCAATGTGCTGTTCCCAGTGTTGGAGGAGTTGGGCAGAAAGTATCAAAACCACTCCACAGTCCTCATCGCCAAGATTGACATCACAGCAAACGATATTCAGCTGATGTACCTGGACCGATACCCATTCTTCAGGCTCTTCCCTGTCAACTCTGAACAAGTAAGGGGATTCCTGATGCACGGAACTGAAAATGCTGTTATATTGTCATCAGGGACTTGGTTCTTGGTTTCTCCTCTTTGTCAGCTCTACATCCTGCCCTGGTATGGTACTGTGGGTTAATGCACTGATGGCATGGTGAGATTGAACCATGAGGTCAGTGATTCAAGCTCACTAGCCAGTCCTTGGAAACCCTATACAGGGTTGCTATGAGTTGGAACCAACTTGTTGACACTTAACAACAACAACTCTATGTAAAGCAGGACAATGTGAACAAAGAGGCCAGGAGGAGGACTGGAGCATTTTGAAGTTCGTGCATTCTCTTTAGGCAGAAGGTCCAGGTAGAAGAGTCATAGCAAATGTGGCTGGAGTGAAAGAGGAAGGGTCTTAAGTCATCAGAAAAGAAATGTAGATACCAGCGGTCAGTAAGCCACATCTTATCCTTCTTGAAGATTCAAACGAGATAGGGAACTGGTAACATCTGAGCATCCACCATGTACTGAGTGCTTTGTGAAATAATAATCATTATTATTATTATGTTATTGTTGTTGTTAAGTGCTGTCAAGTCGATTTCCAGCCCATAGTGACGCTGTATAGGGTTTCCGAAGAGCAACTGGTATGCTTGAACCACTGACTGCGGTTCAAACCGACTTTGGTGTCCAGCTTTGCAGTCCACAACATAACAAAACCAACAAAGCCACACCAGGAGTCCTTATTAGTATTTGTTGTTGTTGTTGTTAAGAGCCATTGAGTCAGTTCCAACCCATAGCAACCCAGTATAGGATTTCCAAGGAGCGGCTAGTGAGGTTGAACTTCCGACTTTGCAGTTCAAACTGACGTTGCAATGCAGAGGATTAACCCGCAGCACCACCCCAGGACTCCGCTTCTTATTATAGTAATAACAAATACATAGATTGCTCATGATGAGCCAAGCCCTGTTTTTTAGGGTTTTTTTTTTAATGTTTTATTGTGAATTATGTGATAGTTTACATGGGAGAACATTAGTTTCACATTCATCCTATCGTGTATCATTTCATTGCCATGGTTACAATCCCCTCCATGCATCATCAACCAACCAAAGGGTATACACTACAAGCCTGCCCCCGGTCGTCAGCACACATCCCCTCTCTCTCTCTGTCTAGAGTCCCTAGCTGCTCCATCTCTCCACGTCATTGTCTCTGCCAGGCCCTTGACATATAGTTTCATCTTTGTAACCACACACTAAGTTGGTACTATCAGTATCCCCATATTCCAGATGAAAAGACTGGGTCATAGAGAGGCTAAGCATCAAGACCACACCGATAAGTGAGTCTTGGATTTGTGCTGTGCCATGTGGCTCCAGAGTCTGTGGTCTGAACTACCCCACTACCCCCCTGTGAAGCAGGAATTGTGATTTTAGAACCATGGTAATGGGGACTCACAAAGGTTAAGTAGTCTGGTTGTGGTCAACCAGCTTGTTAGGAATTTTACCCTGAATGGCTTTTCTGTGTTTTTGCAGACTGTCATATACATGGGAGAACATACTCTAAAGGACTTTTCTGACTTCCTGGAATCACAAATCAAGACTAGGGTTGAGGACGAGGATGAGGACAAGGTAAGGGAAAATAGTAACACCCTTTGTCCCACCAAGAATTACCACAAACTCAGTGCACTAAGAGCAGAGTGTGGCAAGAATCCTCATGATTCAGATAGTTGAGACAGGATGGGCAACCAAGGAGCTTGGGTCACTTTACTAATTACTTTGTTTCAAGGGTACTTACTATGAAGAAGCAAAAATGAGGAAGGGCAAAGCCTCTTCCATGGTTCCTACAGGTGGCTTCCCTTGGTCTATCACAGCGGCAGAGATGGCAACCAGATGCTTTGATAGGGTCATGCCTTCTGGCATGATGAATGAGCCCATCATTCTACTTCCCCTGGTCTTCCCTTTGTGATGCCATCTTCTGGAAGGTGCCATCAGAATTAATCAGTCCCCATTAAATTCCAAATGTTAAGAAGGCCACTCATTGGAATAAACAGCAGAGGGAATTTATTTTATATCTGGTAGACTGTCCAGCATGGGCCTATTCAGAAGATCAACAACAGTGCTAAGACGTTCTCTCTGCATCTCTTTGAGTCTGCATTGGCTTCATTCTTCCAATAAGAGACTGTCACTGAACCAAAGTTCCAATCTAACATCCTACCACTTGAAAGAAACCACCTCCCTCTTAGTTCCAGTAAATCTACTGGGCAGGGAAGCTCATTGACTAGGCCTGGGTCCTGGAACTAGAGGTGGGGGGAAAGGCTGGTTCCTCACAGGTGCTCCGATTGTTGTTGTTAGTGCCACCAAGTCAGTTTTGACTCATAGTGATCCTGTATAAGGGTTTCTGAAGAGCAGCTGGTGGGTTTGACCCACTGACCTTGTGGTTAGTAGCCCAGGGCTCTACACCAGGACTCCACGGGGGCTCTTATAGAAGTGTAAAACCAAAGCTAGACACTCCCCCTTCCAAGCTAAACCAACCCTTACATTTCTGAAGATCTTTAGACCAAGAACTGATTATTTCTGGGTACATTCTCCCAGAGGTGGGAAGGGATAGTATTGTTGTTAAGTGCTGTCAGGTCGGTTCCTACTCATAGCAACTGTATGTACAACATAACAAACACTTCCCAGTCCTGTGCCATCCTCACAATTGTTGTTATGTTTGAGCCCATTTTTGCTGTCACTGTATCAAGCCATCTCATTGGGGGTCTTCCTCTTTTCACTGGCCCTCCACTTTTCCAAGCATGCTGTCTTTCTCCAGGGTCTGGTACTTCCCAAAGTACAGAAGAAGAAATCTCAGCATCGTTGCTTTTAAGGATTAGCATTCTGGCTGTACTTCCAAGATACACTTGTTTCTTCTTTCAATATTCAATATTCTTCACCAACACCATAATTCAAATACATCAATTCTTCTACAGTCATATGTATTCATTGTCACACGCATATGAGGCAATTTTGGGTCAGGCACTCCTTAGTTCTCAAAGTGACATCTTTGCTCTTGAATAATTTAAAGAAGTCTTTTGCAGTAGATTTGCCTTTTGATCTTTTTCTGTCTGCTGTTTCTGTGAGTGCTCACTATGGACCTAAGCAAAATGAAATATTTGACAACTTTGATCTTTTCTCTATTTATCATGATGTTACATATTGGTTTGTTATAATCCACACAGTGGGATGCCTTTTCAATACATCAATAAAGCACAAGTAAACATCTTTCTGGTATTCCCTACTTTCAGACAAGATCCATCTGACATCAGCAATGATATCCCTCATTCCACAGCCTCCTCTGAATCCAGCTTGAGTTTCTGGCAGCTCCCTGTTGATATATTGTTACAACTATTTTTGAATTATCATCAGTAAAATTTTACTTGTATGTGATATTAATGATATTGTTTGATGGATTTTCACCTTCTATTGATCCACTTTTCTTTGGAATGGGTACAAACATGGATCTCTTCCAATTGGTTGGCCAGGGAGCTATCTTGCACATTTCTTGGCATAGATGAGAGAGCACCTCCAGTGTTGCATCAGTGTAGTGAAATATGGACCGGCCAAGTGGCAGCATCGATAGACTCAAGTGTGGCAACAATAATGAGGTTGGCCCAGGATCAGGCAGGCAGTGTTTCATTCTGCTGTGCATAAGGTCACTATGAGTTGGTACCGACTCAATGGCACCTAACAACAACAGCGACAACAATTCCTGGAGCCTTGTTGTTTTTTTTTCAGTGCAGCTTGGACTCTTCTTTCAATAATATCGGTTCTTGATCACATGGTACCTCGAAATGACTGAATATCAACCAATTATTTTTCGTATAGTGACTCTGTGTATTCCTTGCACCTTTTGATCCTTGCACCTTTTGATGCTTCCTGCATCGTTCAATATTTTACCCACTGTTGTTACGTGCCTTCAAGTTGATTCCAACTCAGAGCAACCCTGTATAGGGTTTCCTAGGGGCCTCTGTTGGATTTAAACCATAGACCTTTCAGTTGGCAGTCCAGAGCTTATCTTACAGAGCCACGCCAGGACTCCCATTGTGTCCATAGAATCCTTCAGTCTGCCTTATTGAGGCTTGCATTTGCATCTCGTTTCTTTGAGCTGGAGACATTTTCTGTGTGTATTTCCCTTTAGGTTTTCTAACTCCAGGTCTTTGCCCATTTCATTTTATTGCTTGACTTTGTCTTCTAGAGCTACCCTTTGACATTTTTGTTTAACTCTTTTACTTCCTCATTTCTCCCATTCACTTTAGCTTCTGTTCACTAGAAAGCAAGTTTCACAATATCTTCTGACAGCCATTTTGATGCTTTTTCTTTCTTTTTGAATGAGTTTGGGCTTTTTTCCTGTATGACGTTCTTGATGTCATACCACAACTCCTCTGGTTTTTTGGGTCATTAGTGTATAATGCAGCAAACCTGTTCTTGAGATGGTCTCTAAATTCAGATTGGATATGCCCAGTGTCATAATTTGGCTCTTGTAGACTTGTTTGATTTTTTTCAGTTTCAGCCTGAGCTTGCATATGAGCAATTGGTGGTCTGTTCCATAATCGATCCATGGCTGATGGTATGGAGCTTCCCTGTAGTCCCATTCCATAGGTGTAGCCAATTTGATTCCTTTTGTTCCATATGATGAGGCCCACATGTATAGTCACTTTTTATGTTGTTTGAAAAAAGTATTTGCAATAAAGTCATAGGTCTTGCAAAAGTCTATCATGCAGTCTCCAGCACCATTTCTATCACCAAAGTCGTATTTTCCAACTACTGATCCTTCCTCTTTGTTTCCAACTTTCACATTCCAATCACCAGTCATTATTCATGCATCTTGGTTGCGTGTTTGATCAATTTCAGACTGAAGAAGTTAGTAGAACTCTTCACTTTCACCATCACTTGCTTTAGTGGTTGGTGTGTAAATTTCAATAATAGTCATATTAACTTATCTTTCTTGTTGTTAAGTGTTGTGAATCAGACTCACAGCAACCTTTCTGCGGAGTGGTTGGTGGATTTGAACCACTGACCAACCTTGCAGATCAGTGCTTATCCTAAAGCACCACATTGTATGGATATTCTCCTATCACAGACAGCATTGTACTTCAAGAAAGATCTTGAGATGTTCTTTTTGATGATAAATGTGCTGCCTTTCCACTTCAGTTTGTTGTTCTGGAGTAATAACCCACATGACTGTCTGATTCAAAATGGTCAATACCAGTTCATTTCAGCTTAATAATGCCTAGGATCTCGATCTTTATGGGTTCCATTCCATATTTTATGACTTGCATTTTTCCTAGATTCATACATTGTACATTCCACATTCCGATTATTAATGAATGTTTGCAGCTGTTTCTGCTGAAACCTGTCCCCCGTGGGGGACCCTGCTGGCATTTAAAATACCCAGCATCACAGCCGCACACAAGCCACAACAGTATGACAATCGGGCAGATGAGTGTCAGTTATGTTAGTTTCTCTTTGTGCCTTTCTTTCCTCCATCCCCCACACCCCCCTTTTTTTTTCTTTAAAAAATAGATAATGTCTGTTGAGCCAAGGGAGTTGGTAGAGGAGAAGATATTGCCTAAGAAAGAGGAGAAATCCTTTGAGGATAAAGAGTTACCTGAGCAGAAGGTGTCTGAGCCGGAGACCATGACGAGGCTGGAAGACCTAGCTAGTCAGAAGAGACCGGTGGAGGAGGAGGTGGAACCACCTAAACCAATGGGACCTCTCAGAGAAGAGAAGAAACCAAGTGTCAAGGAAGAACTTTAGCTTCTCCAAAGCCAGGAGTATGGGCTCCCATCTTCCAAGTCTTGGAGCTCCTCGAATAAAATGACACATTATATGGTAGGGGGTTAGTGGGGGCTAAACAATAAAGCCCTTGCATGATATTCACTCTGTTGTACTTATTCTTTTTCCTGGTTGGTGCGATCTTAAAAGAGCTGGCTGGCCTAGAATTCAGACAGGGCTTGAAGGGAAGCCATCATAGCAACATTTCAAAAGTTCTTACAACCTGCCGGACATTCCTCTAATTCTCATAATGGAATAGAGAGGAAGGTTTCATCATGTCCGTTTTATAGAGGAGGCACAGACTGCTAACCATGGTCTCACACAGCTAGAAAACCACTGAGATTGGATCCGAAGAAATCTCATGCCAGAGAAATTGTGTGTCGCCACAATGTGGCACATCCTCTTAACAGATTGGGGGCTGCAGAGTTTGAGGAAACCTTTTAAATCAAAGGGATTGCTTTACTTGAGCTGCATTTGGGGCTGGGAAGAAAGACCACCTCACAATTGTTTCTCAGTCTTCTGCATCTCAGTGACTCACTCAAACAACAATCCCAAGATTATCCTCAACTCTTGTCTTTGCCATTATATCCAAGCCTTGTGGCTCCGCCCACCTCCCTCTGCTAGACTCCTCCCACTTCCACCCATCTCCACTAACATTCCCTGCCATTCTTAGCTGCTGCTGTCTCCTTCCTGGTCTCTTTGCTACCACCCTGTGTCTCTTCCTCCTATTCTCCTGCCAAAAATAAATCCATATGCCACAAAGCTGCCGAAGCATTCTTTTTACAACACTACATTGTTGTGAGCCTCAAATGGCTCTCACATCTTTTAGAATAGGATCTGGTCTCCTTCTAGTACCTGCAAGATCTTGCAGATCTCTCCTTTCCTCCTCCTCACAGCAGGCGCCAGGCACACTGCCTCTCTCTTCTTGCATAGACAAGAGCACAGTTGTTTCTCTCTTCATCACTATTCCCTCTGCCTAAATGTACTCCCCCAGATCTTCATGTTGCTTTTTCTTATCATTGTTCAAATTTCACCTTAAATATCACAACCTCAGAAAGGTCTTCCTGTATGCCAGTGTTTGAAAGCATATTCTTCTTCTGTTGTACACAGCTGTATTGCTCTCGTCCCCCACTAGTCTACAAGCTCCAGGAGAGAGGACACACCTGTTTTCTTCTCTACTGGATTTCCAATGCCTAGAATTTTGACTGGCACATAGTAGATGCTTAAGGAACTCTGGTAGCGTAGTGGTTATGAATCAGGCTGCTAACTTCAAGGTTGGCAGTTCGAAACTACTGAATCTAATGAAAGAAATTCTATACCAGACAGAAATCACCTCCAATAGGTACATGATTTCAAAATTAACCCTAAAGGAGAAGGTGTTAACTGTGTTGCCTCCAGATGCAAAATGGACTATATTGGTTATTTATTGCTGCTGGGCAAAAAAGAAAAGACCAAAGTGGATGTCAGAATCAATGCTGAAACTTGGTCTTGAGCATACAGAAGCTAAAGTGATTAGAAGAAATGAAGTGAAAATTCTGAACAAAAAATGTCAAAGGGCAGCTCGAGAAGACAAAGTCAAGTATTATAATGAAGTATGCAATGACCTGGAGTTAGAAAACCAAAAGGAAGAACACAGAATTTCTCAAGCTAAAAGAACTTACAACAACAACAAAAAATCATGCCTCCGGTTGCGATACTGAAGTATTCTATGAGCAAAATATTAAATGATGCTGGAAACATCAAAAGAAGATGGAAGGAATACACAGAGTCTGTATATGAAAAAGGATTGACATTCAGTCATTTCAAGAGGTACCATGTGATCAAGAACCAATGGTATTGAAGGAAGAAGTCCAAGCTGCACTGAAGGTATCGGTGAAAAGTGAGGTTCCAGGAATTGATAGAATACAACTTGAAATGTTTCAACAAACTGATGCAGCATTGGAGGCACTCACTCATTTATGTCAAGAAATTTGTAAAGACAGCTACCTGGCCAACCGACTGGAAGAGATCCATGTTTGGGTGATGGAAGAGATCCATTACAAAAAAAAGGGGAGCCAATAGAATGTGGAAATCATTGAACAATGTCACTAATATCACATGCTAGTAAAATTTTGCTGGAGATAATTTTAAAATGTTGCAGCAATTACTTTGACAGGAAGCTGCCAAAAATTCAACCCAGATTCAGAAGGGAATGTGGAATGAGGGACATCATTGCTGATATCAAATGGATCTTGGCTGAAAGCAGAGAATACTAGAAAGATGTTTACTTGGGCTTTACTCACTGTGTGAATTATAACAAACTATGGATAACAACAAGGTCGGCAGTTCGAAACTACCAGCTGTTCCTCAGGAGAAAGATGGTTCTTTCTGCTCCCATAAAGATTTGCAGCCTTGGAAACTCTGTGCAGGGTCACTATGAGTCGGAACTGACTCCATGATACTTAACAACAATGCAGAATGGGTGTTCCAGAACACTTAATTGTGCTCGTGAAGAACCTGTACACAGACCAAGAGGCAGTTGTTAGAGCAAAACAAGGTCTAAAATTAGGAAAAGGTATGTGCCAGGGTTGTATCCTTTCAACATACGTATTCACTGTGTATACTGAGCAAATAGAAGCTGAACTATATAAAGAGGAACATGACATCAAGGTTGGAGGAAGATTCACTAACAACCTGCCATATGCAAATGATACAACTTTGCTTGCTGAAAGCAAAAAGGACTTAAAATATTTACTGATGAAGATCAAAGACCACAGCCTTCAGTATGAATAGCACCTCAATGCAAAGAAAAAAAAATCTCCACTGCTGGATCAATAAATAACATGATAAACAGAAGATTGAAGTTATCAAAGACTTCAATTTGCTTAAACCCACAATCAATGCTCACAGAAGCAGCAGTCAAAAAATCAAACGATGGATCATATTAGGAAAAAATGCTGCAAAAGATCTCTTTAAAGTGTTCAAGAGCAAAGATGTCAGTTTAAGGACAAAGGTGTGCCTGACCCAAGTCATGTTCTTTCTAGTGGCTTCATATGCATTTGAGAGTTAAACAATATGACCGTAGGAAAAGTATTTGAATTATGGTGTGGTGGAGAAGAATCCTGGAAGTACCATGGACCGCTAGAAGAACAAACCTGTGTTGGAAGAAGTACAACCAGAATGCTCCTTAGAAACAAGGCTGGTGAGACTTTATCTCTTGTACTTTGAACATATCAGGAGGGATCAGTCCCTGGAGAAAGCCATCAGGCTTGGCAAAGTGGAGGCTCGATGAAAAAGAGGAAGACCCCCAATGAGATGGACTGGCACAGTGGCAGCAACAATGGGCTCAAACACAACAATTGTGAGGTTGGCACAGGACTGGGCAGGGTTTTGTTCTGTTGTGCAGACTCACAATGTGATAAAACCAACTCAACACCCCACCACCACCACCACTGTTGTTGCTAGAACAAATTCCCACAAATTAGTGCCTTAAAACAATACGAATGTATTTGATAATCCAAGGGGCCGGAAGTCTGACATCTGTTTCACTGGGCTAAAGTCAAGGAGTCTTCAGGGCTGGTTCCTCTTGGAAGTTCTAGGTAAGAATCTGGTCTCATTTTCAGTTTTGGGAGGCTGCCTTCATTTCTTGGCTCATGACCCCTCTCCTGGAGTCACTACAACATGATCTCTCGGCTTCATCACCACATCTCCTACTTTCTGACTCTCTTCCTTGGCCCCTCTATTAAGGACTGTCGTGATCACATTGTGCCCATTCACTAATGAAGGACAATAGCCTCATCTCAAGACACTTCAGCACATCTGCAAAGTTGTTTTTCCATATAAGGTAACACTCCTAGGTTCTGGAAAACTCGGATGTGGAATTTGCAGAGGGCATCATTGTGCCTCCCATAACCCCACACTGCTCATGTGACAGCATTCCAACCAGGTGATAATAGGTCTTCTCTCAAGAAAAATAAATCCTGGTGGTGCAGTGGTTAAGTGCACTGGAATGTCAGCAGTTCAAACCCACCAGCTGCTCTGCTGGGGCAAGATGTGGGGGTCTGTTTCCATAAAGATTGTTGCTGTTGTTATGTGCCGTGGAGTCGGTTCTGACCCATAGCGACCCTGAACAGAGTTTCCGAGGCTGTAAATCTTTACGGGAGCAGAAAGCCTCATCTTTCTCCCACAGGATGGCTGGTAGTTTCGAACTGCCGACCTTGAGGTTAGCAGCCCTATGTGTAACTACTACGCTACCAGAGCTCCATAAAGATTATTATAAGGCAATTCTACTCTGCCCTATGTGGTCACCATGAGCTGGAATTAACTCATCACCAATGGGTTTGGTTATGTTTCTTGGGAAAACAAAAGAGGGTATTATTGTAGGGGTTAAGTTTTCCCCAAATCTTAGGAGCCTCTCCATGGTCCACCCACCATAGAAAGCAGTGGCTGTCTGTGCTCTTTCAGACCTCCCCTCCCCACATTCCCAAACCTGTTCTCTTCCAGACAAAGCAGGGCACAGCCTGGGGTCCTGGAACTCCCCAGAGTCAGATGTCCTCACAGGAGCAGGTGTGTGTTAGTATTCCGGACACGGTGCAAGACTCACCTGCCAGGGCCTTAAGGTCATGTGGCTGCCAGGAAGGAGGGGTCGATGGGGGCTGCCAGGACAAAGTCACATGCAACTGAATCCCTTGTGATATTAATTATTGGATTCCTGACAGAAGTCAATAAGGACCCATAGGGGTCAGCTGGTGGGACCACTTGTATGTGGACTGTGACTGCCCTAAATAATTGGGTTATTTGATTGAAGGTGAAGTTTCAACATCCACACAAGACAGGAGTGAAATCAAAAAGTTTATTACAAGTCCTAAACCCAGATAGCACCCAAGTGGGGCTGGGAGCAGGAGAGGCAGTCCTCTCTCAGATACACGAGAGAGAAGCAGTATACACCTATTACTTAGAAGGTATTTAGGGCATCAGTCACTTGTTCATGCAAGCTTAGTGGCTATTTTGAAAAGCTACCTGGTAAAGCAAGGCAGGAACTCTAAGGTTAGGGTCTAGCTATTTGTCCACACCTTGGGTGTGTGCTATGTGACACAACCTGAGTTGCCTAGACAGCAACCTAGAATGGTTTCCTCTCACTGCACCCTGACAGGCCATGAGTGGGCGTGTCACCTGTAGGCTCCCCAAGTGTGGCCAGGGCCTCTGGCCTTGGGGGCTCAGGTAAGCAAGACAGGTTGTTGGGACAGGAGATGCCCCTTTCTTGGAGGAGCGGCCACTCTGCTTATACAGTGGCTCAGTTCCTGCCCTCTCCCCATCCACACCAGGAGTCCTATAGGTTAGCAGCCCAGAATGTAACTATGTGTTAACCATCTGTACTACAGCCCTGTTGTTGTTAAGTGCCCTCAAGTCAGTTCCAACTCATAGCAGCTCTAGATAGGCTTTCCGAGGAGCTGCTGGTGAGTTGGAACCACTGACCAGTTCTTACCCTACAGTGCCACACCAGGATTCCATAGGATACTTAACCTAATCTTCTCATTACAGTGAGGATGATGACCTCAAGACGGTTAGAGAATGAGTCCCACAGTAAATGACAGACCTAGGATTCAGAACAGCCAACTCCAATCTCAATGTATTTAATTTTGAAATGATCCCAACCTCCCTCATTAGACCCCAGACTTCTCATTTCATCTGGTGGGTTAGAACCCATGATGTCTGCGGCACCTTCTATCTCTGACTTTCTGCCATTCTCCATTCCACTCTGAACCCAGGGGAGGTGGCTGACCCCTTGAGGATGGGATATGTTTCAGAAGGGCATAAACCCCATGATGACACCTCAGAGGTGACCTGATCATTGTGCAGCTTGGCTGCTGACACAGACCTCTACCTGGCTCTGGGTCCACCATGCCCTTGCCAGGCTCCTAGAAAAAAAAAACACCTAGTACCTTGGTACTGCTTTCCCAGTTAATATCTAACTAAGGAATCTCTTGCTCCAAAGGGTACTAAACAGAGACCTTGTATTTCTGGGCAGAGGTGTGACCCCTCCACCCCCACCCCAATGTCAATCATTTGGGGTATCTAGCTTTAGGAAACAAAACAACCACTTCACAGGCTAGAAAAGAAAAACATTATGCCCAAAGGGGGAAAAAAATTCCATCCCCAAGGAAACAATCTCAAGTCTCAAGAAACAGAACCAGAGGATCATTGGAGGAGAGATTTACAACCCGGGGTCAATATGCATATATAGGAGGTAGAGGCTTCTGAGCAGGCTGAGTCCACCTTTCTGGTTTCAGGTAAGGCTGTTTGCAGCTCTCTCTTCCTAACCCACCTTGTCTTCCATCTAGTCTTCTACTGGCACCCATCCTAGTTGGGAGAAAGGGAAAGGCACTGGATGTGGACATAGGAGTCAGACCTGGGTTTCAGTCTGTTGATTGACTCGCTCATCTTTGGTAAGTCTCCCCATCTCTTGGTCTAAACTTAACAATGACGTCCATGTTTTTCAGTTACTCAATGAATGTTGGTTAAGTGTCTACTATGTACCATACCAGGTGCTGTGGTAGGGTTATGAACATGTATCTACATGACACTACATGTATCTTCTGAATTAGTCTCCATGGCAACAACAGGCACAAGTGGAACACTGAATCATCACTGCATTTGATCCAGAATTTTCTTTCAATTAAATAGAATAGAAAAATGTCCACAAGTAAGGTACGTAGTAAAGATTCTTGTTGCTGTTATGTGCTGTGAAGTCGGTTCCAACTCAGCAGGGGTTTCCGAGGCTGTAACTTTATAGGAGCAGAAAGCCTCATCTTTCTCCCGCAGAACAGCTGGTAGTTCAAACTGCTGTCCGTGAGATTAGTGGACTGATTCGTAACCACTACGCTACCAGAGCTCCTTGTAGTAAAGATAGGTGTTGTTTTATTTCACTTGTATGTGTCTGAGCACATGCGTGCAAGCTCACTGGGTTCTGACATACATTTATGCTTATCTTATTGTTGTTGTTATGTGCCGTGGAGTCGGTTCTGACTCATAGCGACCCTGCGCAGGGTTTCTGAGGCTGTGAATCTTTACAGGAGCAGAACGCCTCATCTTTCTCCCACGGAACAGCTGGTAGTTTCTAACTGCTGACTGTGAGATTAGCAGCCCGATTCGTACCACTATGCTTACCAGAGCTCCTTTATCTTACAGGTCCTAGTGAAAGCATTTGAAAAAACACTGATGTTGGGCACAAGTTCCCTGAGCACAGGGATGCCTTACAACTGAGCCTGGTACATAGTAGTCATTCCGTTTGTAGAAGCAATAATCCCCATTTCACAGATGAGAAAAGTGAGTCTTAAGGGTTTGGATCCTGGTTGCAGGCTCCAGGTCCCACACACTTAACCCCATGCTTTGTTAATTTGCTGCTGTAACACAGGGGTAATAACATCCATGTAGAATTCTTTTGCCAGATGGATGAAATAATATAGGATCATTCTGAAATGTTAAAATGTTATTTTTCTAGTTGTTTTCCTCAAGACACTTTATGAAGTGTTTCATGAAGACTGGGATTGTGTCTGTCCTATTCATTGTTCTTTTTAGTAGATATTCAATACATATTTGTTATAAGTGTGGCACTGTAGGGTAAGCACTGGACTGCTAACCACAAGGCCAGCAGTTCAAACCCATCAGCTACTCCTCAGAAACCCTATACAGGGTCATTGTGAGTTGGAACTGACTCAAGAGCACTGAGCAACAACAGAGGAACTCAGTTCCTCTTTTTTGGATGAATAAATGGATCTGAGCAGGTTGAAAATTTTCCCAGCAGGGGACAGGAGGTGACTATTAAAATCTAAAACTGCCCCCAATATAGTGACGAGTTCTGATCACTCCATCTTTATTGTTTCCTGCTTCAAATAGAGACCTAGTCCTTCCTTCTAAATGTGCTGAACCTTAAGGAGACAAGATTGGGATGTAGCTGGGAGTGCGTGTGGAGTCACAGTGGGAATAAGACTGCCACTTTGCAGCTTTTATATTCTATGAATGGTGGCTCCTGGAGTTTGTACAAGACAAGCCAAAGTCTTCCTCTCAATGTGGGCATGAAATGAAGTCATGGATTGATCACATCCATCTCTGTTCACAGAACCTCGGGGCTCAGAGACCAGGAGGGAACTCCAAGGAAACAATCTATTTGGTCTTTGGGCACCAAAAGTAGCAGAGACAAGCCAAAAGGATGGTGCGGCTTTGCTCGTTGGCTTCAATGCTGCTGATGGTCCCAGTGATAACCCCTTGGTTCATCACAGTTTCAGCCAGTAACACTTCAGAAACAAGTAAGTGGCAGGGTTCTGCAGGGAGCAAGCAATACTGCCTTTCGAAGAGGGGTTCTCAGTCCCTCTCCATCATGGCTGCGGTTGGCACAGCCTTTATCCTAAGTCAGTTTCGTAGACACTGCTGTATACAGGGCTCACCTGGGAATCGTGCTAAAATGCAGACTCTGGTTCAGTAGGGATCCGTTTCCAATAAGCTTCAGGTGATGCTGCTGATGTGGGCCATGGGATATACTTTGAGAGTCAAGGTGCTAGGATAGCTGTGTGGTTCCAGCCCTTGCTGGAAGGTGAGGAACACGCTCAACCACTTCGGGCGATTTTGACACACCCAGGTAGCTCTAAATGTCCTCTTTTTTCACCCTTAAGAGGTCATTCCATTGGGTTGAGCATGGACCTCCTTATGCATTCAGGTTCTAACTGGAGTGCTTTGGGTGAAAGGTAAACAAAAAACAGTTGGCCTGTTGTGGACTTTGACTCATGGTGACCCTAGGGGTGTCAGAGTAGAACTGGGCCCGATAGGAATCTCGGTGATGTTTGGAAGTATACTGCTATGTCTTTCTCCTGAGGTACATCTGAGTGCACCGACCTCTGTGCACGACTCTGGGAATCCACATAGAAACAATCATGTTGATACCATGATTAAGAGCACACACTCCATGATCTTATCACCTGGGTTTGTGTCCTGGCCCTGAGTAAACAGCTTAAACCTTTTGAACCTTGGTTTCCTCACCTTTAAAAGGCTGCTGTTGTTGTTAGGGGCCGTCCAGTTGTTTCAACTGAGAGTGACCCCATGAGACACAGGAGAACTGCTCCACAGGGTTTTCTAGGCTGTAAACTTTACTGGGGGAGCTGTGGTGGGACTATGGTTAAGCACTTGGCTGCTAACCAAAAAGGTGAGAGATTTGAACCTCTGGTAGTGTAGTGGTTACAAATCAGGCTGCGAACCTTAAAGATCAGCAGTTCAAAACTACCAGTAGTTCCGCAGGAGAAAGATGAGGCTTTCTGCTCCCGTAAAGATTTCCAGTCTCAGAAACCCTGTACAGGGTCGCTATGAGTCAGAATCGACTCCACGGCACATAACAACAATATTGTTCTGGTGGTATAACTTGTGAGTGACGCAGCCAGGAGGAGTGGAGTTAAGGAAGTCTACAGAGAGGATCAGGAGTCCTGGTATGGCGCTATAAGATAAACACTAGACCACAAGGTCGGTGGTTCAAACCCACCAGTCACTCCTCGGAAAACCTATACTGGGTCGCTATGAGTGAGAACTAAGTGACATCACATAACAACTGCAACACAGAGGAGACAGGGAGCAGGATCTGGAAGGCTCACTAGACAGAGAAAAAGGCAAGAAAGGTGTCCCAGTGGGGCAGGGTGCAGGTTCACCAGAAGTCCTGCCAAAGTGTCAGGACTTTATTCCTCTGCATGTGAGGACGTGAACATTTTAAAAGAAGACCCTTGTCTTACAGGCAATGCTTAGCATGGAAGAATGAGTTGTGGTAATTTAAACACAGGTGCCCTGGTGACACCGTAGTTAATTGAAAAGCAGTCCCAACTCACCAGGTGAATGGGGGAAAAGACCTGACCATCTCCTGGCATGAAGATAGAGCCTAGGACACCCTATGGGACAGTTCTACTCTGTCACTAAGAGCTGAAGCCAACTGGGGGTGGGGAGCGAGGGAAACAGGTTTCCTTCAGGTTTGCTTAGACATCATCAGGAGGGTTTTCTTGCTTGTTGTGGAGGGAGATCCGCTGGGGTCTTAGAACAAGGGGTTTGGGAAGTGTCTCTGGATGGCCACTGGCCCAGCTCTCCCCACTCTGAGGTTGGGGTCTTCGGTCTTCTATCCTCAGGAAGCTGCTCGGACTGCCACAGCAACGCCACCTGCGTGGAAGATGGGGTGGCCACAGCCTGCTCCTGCCTGGCGGGTTTCACTGGCGACGGCTTCCTGTGCACAGACGTGGACGAGTGTGCCACGCCTGGAGCATCCAACTGCTCGGCGGGCAGCAGCTGCGTGAACACGCCCGGCTCCTACATCTGCCTCTGCCCCGTCGGCTTCCGCTTGACTCCCGGGCATGGCTGCACCGACGTGGATGAGTGCGCAGAGCCGGGTCTCAGCCGCTGCCACGCCTTGGCCACCTGTGTCAACGGCGAGGGCAATTACTCGTGCGTGTGCCCCGCGGGCTACGGCGGGGACGGGCAGTACTGTGAGTGCCAGCCGGGCTCCTGCGAACCCGGGCTGGACTGCTTGCCAGCCGAGGAGGGCGCGCGCGTGTGCGTCGATCCGTGTCAGATGTACCGCACCCTGAATGAGTATTGGCGCAGCACCTCCTACCGGGCGGGCTACACCTGCGACTCTGGCCTACGTGGCTGGTACCGCTTCTTGGGCCCGGGCGGCGTGCGCTTGCCAGAGAGCTGCGTCCCGGTGCTGAGCTGCAATACGGCCGCGCCCATGTGGCTCAACGGCACGCACCCGTCCACCGACCAGGGCATCGTGAACCGTACGGCCTGCGCGCACTGGAGCGACAGCTGCTGTCTATGGGATGTGCCGGTCCAGGTGAAGGCCTGCGCCGGCGGCTACTACGTCTACAACCTGACAGCGCCCCCTGCGTGTCATCTGGCCTACTGCACAGGTGAGCGCGTGCCGCCTCTAATCCCCGCCCCCCACCCCTAAGCGGGGAACAGGGGCGCATCTTGCTAACCATCTGCCCCGTGCCTCTGCAGACCCCAGCTCTGTGGAGGGGAGGTGTGAAGAATGCAGCCCAGAGGAGGACTGCGTATCAGATAACGGCAGATGGCGCTGCCAGTGTAAACAGAACTCTAACATTTCAGGTGAGGACAGTACACAGGGCGCAAGTGGGGAGAAATGGGTCAGCAATGTGTCCGCGGTGGGGGCCTGTGCGTGTGACCCAGGGGATGAAGATTGTCCGTTCTGAGTGAAAGAGGTAGTTCCAATAATACAGCCATCAAGAAGCTCCTTAAATGTCCAGAGCCTGGGGAACCCTCGTATTCCCAGCATCCCTTTGGTGGCCCCCCACAACACAGGGGTAAAGAGGTCACACTACCTATGAGGACCAAAGGCTACCTGAGTCATAGTCCCGTGGTGCCAGGGGATAGACTGCTAGTCTGCCAACGGACCAGCTGAGTGACTCTGGGCAGGGCTAGGTCTTCTCTGATCCTCTTTCTCCAATTTTGCAATGATGAAAGTTGTAGGATAAAGTGCAGGACCATAAGGTCGGCGGTTCAAACTTACCAGTGGCTCCTTGGAAACCCTATGCTGGGTCGCTATGGCGCGGAACCAACTCAATGGCACTTAACACCAACAACAAAGGGGGCTAGAATTTTCCAAACATCATTTGTGATTTTTCTCAAGTACAGGTTTACATTTTTTTTCTATATCCAAGTACTACCTATACTGTCGTTGTTAAGTGCCGTAGAGTTGGTTCTGACCCATAGCGACCCTGTATAGGGTTTCCTAGGAACAGCTGGTGAGCTTGAACCGCTGACCTTGCAGTTAAACAGCTTTGCAGTCTGGCACATTAACCCACAGTGCCATACCAGGGTTGTTGTTGTTGTTATTAAGTGCCGTCAAGTCGGTTCTGACCCATAGTGACCCTATACAGGATTTTCGAGGCTGTAAATCTTTATGAGAGCAGAACGCCTCATCTTTCTCCCGCAGAGCAGCTGGTAGTTTCGAATTGCTGACCTTGCGGTTCGCAGCCCGATTCGTAACCACTACGCTACCAGAGCCCCAGGGTTGTAGTATTGTGTTTGTGGCCCTGAGCCACAGAAACAGGTCTCTCATCTTGTCCTTCTGATTGTTTCAGACATCTCCCAGCTGGAACCCAGACTGGAGTGTGGGACCAATGACATCAAAGTGTCCCTGGACAAGTGCCAGCTGAAGAATCTAGGTTTCGAGAATATCTTCATGTACCTACAGGACAACCGATGCCTGGGCTTCAATGAGAGGAGTGACAGGGACTGGGTGTCCGTGCTGACCCCAGCCCAGGATGGCCCCTGTGGAACTGTTTTGATGGTATGTCCTGGCCGGGATGGGGCAGGCTCAGAACACTCCCTGGTTTGAGCCCCAGCTTCACCACTTACTGGTTGGACAACCCTAGCTGAGCTGTTTAGTCTGGCTGTGCCTCAGTTTCCTCAACTGGAAAACGAGTTAATAAAGCTCCTTCGTCCACACAGTTGTTGTGAAGGTTGGATGAGAGAATGTATGCAAAGTGACTAAACCAGTGAGTGGAATATAGTAAGTGCTCAGTGAATATTAGCTTAAAATAAAGAAGGCAATCTGTGGATGATGATGGTGGTGGTGGTTATGTGCCACGGAATCGTTTCCGACTCATAGTGACTCTTCATAGGGTTTCCGAGGTTGTAATCTTTACAGGAAGGAAGATGAGGCTTTCTGTGCCCTTAAAGATGTACAGCCTCAGAAACCCTATACACGGTCACTATGAGTCAGAATCGACTCCACAGCACGCAACCACCACCACCAATCTTTATGGGAGCAGAAAGCCTCATCTCCTGTGGAATGGCTGGTAATTTCAAACAGCTGACCTTGAGGTTAGCAGCCTGACTCGTAACCACTACATTACTAGAGCTCCTTTCTGTGGATGATAGATGCCCATTTTATAGGTGGGAAAAGTAGAACTCAGAAGAGGCAGTGATTTTTCCATGCCAGTGGGTATCCAGAATCCTATCAGTTGGGGTTGTAGGACCTTGTCTACAGAAAACCAAAACCCAATCCCATTACAACTGAGTTGATTCCAACTCTTGGTAACCCATGTGTGACAGAGTAAACTGCTCCGTGGGGTCTTCTGGGCTGTTCTCTTTACTGAAAGAGCTTGCCAGGGCTTTTATTCTGTGGTACCACTGGGTAAAGTTGCACCGCTAATGCTAATCTCTAGGTGAGCAGTTGAGTGCAAAGTGCTCAGAACCCCCCCAAAAAACCACAACTAAATGCACTGCCTTCGAGTCAGGAAAGTTTTGGATGAAGAGTGTACTGCTCCCTCCTCCTACCTCTCTTCCCCAAAAAAAGAAAACAGGGGAAAAAAGGAAGCAAGAAATCCATTCATTTTCATTTGCCGAGCCTGATGCCTGAAATTGCACCCTTACTGTAGGGCCCAGCACCTGGCTTTTAGTCTCTTTAGTCTTCAGAGAAAAGACACGTGGGGTAATGGAAGAGTAATGGACCCTTGGGGTCCAGCAAAGGGCACATGCTCATAAGTGGTTGCTGCCGTTGTAATTTTTTGCCACGGAGTCTGGGAGGGCAGCTCACATGCGCTCACAATCCATCCTCTCTGCCTCTGTTATCTTGCTCACCTTTTCATGCCTCTTTCTCTCATCCCACCCCATCACAGAAAAATGAAACCCACGCTACCTACAGAAACACCCTCTACCTAGCAGATAAGATCATCATTCGAGAGCGCAACATCAAGATCAACTTTGCATGCTCCTACCCTCTGGACATGAAAGTCAGCCTGAAGACCTCACTGCAGCCAATGGTCAGGTGTGGCCAGCAGGGATCCCTAGCACCCCTGGGTGGCTCCATCCCACAGCTCCTTAATCATGAGACCCTCAGCCACCCACAGGGAGCTAGGGAAGGGAGAATGGGAGTGGTGGCAGGGGAGTGGGGTGATGTGGGGCTAGGAGAAGGCCCAGTCAGGAAGTATGGAGACCAGATTCAAATCCAGGCTCGGTGATGTACTAACCAGAGGGCTTTGTGAAGTTGAGAACGCCATTTATAGTCTCAGTCTTCTCATCTGTAAAGAGGTTTGGCAATGGCTGGACTGCCTTTTTAAGAAGCACGATGGTTCTCTTCAGATATTAGGGCCTCAGGTTATCGGAGAAGCAGGATTTGTGGACCAGAGGGTCAGAAGGGGAGTCTCAGTGTGTTCAGACTGACCTGTGTGGCTGAGTGCTTATCCTACAGCGCCACACCAGGACCCCTAGGAAACATCAGTGTCATTATTATTCCCATTACATGGAAATGGAAACTCAGAGAAATTTGAGTAGCTTGTCCAAGGTTGTAGAGTCTTTGTTGTTGTTGATGGTGGTAGTTATGTGCCGTGGGGTTGGAACCGACTCAGAGCGACCCTGTACAGAGTTTCCGAGGCTGTAAATCTTTACGGGAGCAGAAAG